TGACTGTTTAATGCAGTATAATCTAGTAAAAGATTGATAAACAATATTTCTTTGAAAATACTGCGGTGCAAGCGTTTCAATCAATGGACATCACTTCAGGATTTCTGGCCTTTGTCAGGACAGTGGGAATATGTGGTTAAAAGGCAATGAATGCGGTAAGATGGTGCCAATGACCAAAATAGTAATTTCATATGGACAAATATTTTTTTTTTGAAAGAGCGACTTAAAGGAGAAAGTCTGCATTCATACTCCACATAGTTTATAGAAGCTTAAGGACAGCATTCTGACAATTATACCTTCCACACTTTCAAAAATAAAGCAAAAAGCCATGGTATAAGTCAAACCGTGAACTCTTATGGTGGCTACTTAATGAAATAATTTACTATATAATAATTGAATATGCAATAATAAATTGCAAAAATGATCCATTAGAACAGTAATATCTGCAGCATTAAAATCAATATAAGTATACAATAAAAACTATATTAACTGTTAATTCTCTTGAAGAGACAAATTTTCTATAATCAATTTTTTTTTGTTACATCATTATATGAAATTATTAAACCTCTTCTGAATATCGGCTACCGATAAATGTTCACCCAAAAGATTTTCACAGTAAAACTATTTGACAATCGGTAGTATTTGAAGCATCGATGTGATTTACAGAAAATTGAGTTTAATGCCTACTTCCAATTTCTTCACAGGTAATTATGTACTAAGAAATTAATATTGTAGTAAATAATTTTAAATCATTTCTTATGAATCATTCCCAACTTCCTTCATGGACGCCTACTTCCCCAGCACTATAAAAAAATTACAAAAAAAAAAATCATTAAGAAAAGGATTAAACTTAACGAAAATCCTTTCATAACGATCGAAGTTGTGCATTTTATGATCTTCAAAATAAAATAATAAATAAAAAATTAGATTCGTAAATTAAAAACTAAAATACCAGTAATTGTATGGAAGTTCCCAGGACCGAATAAGTAATTACACTTTTCTAGTAAAAAAAATGGACTAACTCAAATTGTTTCGGATGCGCTTCACACGCTACATTCAATTTAAATAATTTTTATTTTTTAATATGAAAAAAATTGAAAGTGGTAAAAAAAAGTGAAAAATCGTATAAAAAACATAAAAAATTTGTGTGCAAAAAAAATTATTTATCATACCAAATGTTTACCTACATAGGCAAATAGATAGGTCCATATGGTGGTGGTGCTGCCGACATTGAGGAATACCTGAAGCGACGGTATTTAAGCGAGCACACATTCTTCTATCAATGACGTATGCAGATTAGGTTGAGTCGAGTTGCTTTATTCAAATCCTGTGCGCTCCTGTGTTTGTATGTCGGTGTGGTTGGTTAAACAAAGGGTTCAATTTAGACCGTAGTCGTATTAGACTTTTTTATATATATTGTTTTAAAGCATTTATAAAAAATTATATAAAACCCTTTCGATTTTAAGTTTCTTTCTAAGTTTTTTTTATTTTTATTTTTTTTTTTGTTTCTATGACTAATGATATTCGATGCTAATGTTTTTAATTTCACTTTTGCGTGAGAATTTTTAACATTTTTCTAGGACTAAGGACTCTGTTTAAGTTTTTTTTCTTAATGTGGTAAGAATATCTAAAGGACTTTTATACTCATACGTTCATTGCAGTTTTAGAAAAATTATTTATATGATCATATAACAGGGATGTAAGGTATAAAATACTTTAGTGAGCAGAATTAAGTTTATTATTAAAAGAGTTATTGATAATAATGTTATAGATAAATAATAAATTTTTACGTACACTTACATTCATTATTATTTGATTTTCTGACGTTTCGATTAAATGGCACAAGGTAGAGTTATTAGTCACAGCTCGTAATAAAGTAAGTCTAAATTGAGAGAGAGAGGAAGAGCGCTTTCGCTGCATGATTATTATCAACCAGTAACTGCTTAATATTAAGGTCTAATAAGTTTGGTAAAAGAATATATAAGATTATTTAATTTTTAAAGACAAGTACCAATAATCCTAATATTTCGTAGGTCGATCTTCCTAAGAAGATTTACACATTTATAAAGAGAAGAACATAACTCAATTTTGAATAAACCTAAACAAATTACTATATGGTCTTCATAGAGAAATCTAACTTTTTAAGAAGATATGGAGAATAAAACTATAAGTTTAATATGTGCTCTTCTTAAAATTATCTTTTTGATGATCAAGAAATAAGGGAAACTTAATTAACACTAATATATAAGTGAATTGTATTAATTCAAAAAAAAGAAATTATTTTTAAATGTGAATCAAGCATAATATATATATATTTTTTTAATAGCTTGTATTCTAAGCTATTTAATAATTTAATAAAACAAAATATTATTTTCTATATAAAAATTTTTTAACTGTTTAGTTAATATAATTTAAAATTTATTTAAGAAGATACTACAAGAAAAATAAAATCTTTTGTTTTCATCTTAACTAGAAAAACTTTCCTCGACTGCATTATTTTTCTTTAAGTAAAACTTTTAATGCAAGCCACACAATTTATGCGAACCCTTCTTCTCTGTTTTTTTTTTTCTATCTTAATTTTATGCAGTGAAGTCTACAAGCCGTTCATAAACCGCTTAAGGTCATTTTTTTTTCTTAGCTGCATAATTTGCATATTATGATATTTAAGATTTACATACGCACCGTACACACCCCTTGCATGCTGCAGCATCACACTAGACATTCTCGAATTCGACAGCGATCACTCAATCATGTCTTCAATGATCGAGAACTGACAGTGTCGTCGCATGGTCTTCAGCATATTTTTGCATATTAAGAAGTTTGGGGTGCAGTCGATTCCAAAAACATAAGTAAAAGTAAATTTCGTAGACCAGTGCGCTATGGGAACAAAAGCCACATTCAATAATAAACAAAAGATAGAATCAATATTTAATATAATTAATTAATAGTCAACAAACGTATAGCTGTAAATTTTTTTTTTGTTTTTTATATATAATGATTAAATAATGTTCGTTTTCTTTTTAAAACTCTAATTTAACAGTTTTTGATATATAATTTCTTTAATTAAATTCTTATTTAGTTCTTATTTGAATAACCAGCATTAATAAAATTAAAACTGATCAAGATAAGAATCATCTAAATATGGTATATCAAATGTTAGTTATTACGATCGTATAATTTTTCCCATATATCACATTTTTTCAAAGGAAGTTGTAGTGAAAATCCTTACTGTGTACAACAAAATATTGATGTATAACATTTCCTATATGCAGTGTTACTTCTCGACTAAAAATTTTATTAGTCTTCCGAATATTCTTCACAACAGATGGAGACACGATATGTGTTTCGTAATATGGTACTCTATACTCAAAACTGTACTCAATACAGTCTTGTACAAAAAATACTTAATGTGAAAATCAGTATACTTTTATCTTAACCCATATGTAAAAAGAATTATAAGATATTCTTACCATAAATGTAATACGAAATATTATATTATTCACTGATTACAATATTGGCTGATAGTTTTATCAGATATATACTATATACTGTACTATGGAATTCCTGATACGGAACGAACAAAACATTTGAATTTAGAAATAGGAACGTGTTTTAGTGCTGCTTCAGATACTTCGGATGATTCAGATAAGTAGGAATTATTTATTTTAAAATTATGGCTTTTGGTCAATAGTCGGTGGACTTATCTGATTCATAACATAACGGCATCCGTACCTTAACAAAATAAAATAAGCAGCTTCATACTAGGTAACCAGATTATGGTCTGATGGGACTGGGTAAGAAAATTAATCCGATCCTCACATGATTCCTAATCATTATTTGATTATTTGATGATTTGATTATCAGCTGCAAATTACTGCGGGCGCGATTTTTCTGATAAGCGCAATCACATTTATATTCCTGTTCTATACTTTTTCAATTCTGTTCTGTACTTTCTCCTTCATATTTTCTTCTTTAACGTTTTTCTTCTCATTATCATTCTTAGTTGTTACCAGCCGGTACTAGTCAAAGTTTCGTGCACAAAGTTTGCTTCAATATATATATATATCAATGGCCATAATTAGTCATGGATCGTGATTTTAGATATGTATTCATGATTATAAACATCTGTAGGATAACATAACCTAACTATTTTATACATTGTAGTTTAAAAAAATTTATTATAATATTACAAAATGTGAGACAGTTGCTCCAGTTGGAGTAACTATTAAAGGTGTCAATTTCGACTTTCATGGTTTAATATTAGTATTTTTTTATTTAAAACTTACCAGTTGCTTGCAGTCTCTAATCTTCCCATGGTATATATTTTGAATTTAATGTTCTTTATTAGCAGCTCAAACAACTTTGTTAATAATTATAACAGCAACATAAAAAAATAACAAATATTTGAATTCATAAAAAATTAACAGCTTTTAGTAATTTTATTGTGAATGCGCAGAAAATATTCTTTTTTTAGCAAAGACAATAACCAAAAGCAAATGCAATGCATTACAATAACATGCACTATATGAATATACATATGTTTATTAACATATTATTTATATTATCATAATTTATATTATAGTTTATTATTATAGTGTGTTAGTTTAAATAAGTAAGTAATACATGCTATTTTAATAATTTTAATTATAATATTATTATATAGAAAATTACGCACTGCGTTTGTTGACGCTTAATATAAATATTTCGAAGTGTTGGCAACAATTTTCGAACAGCTGTTCGAATATGAAGTGTACGTGTCCATTGACATTTGCTCAAAGTTTTATAGTTAGTCAACAATAATAATATTATTAAATGCAGTCATTTATAACGAAATTGTTGAATAAAAAATATCGGGCTTGTAAAATGTCTCATACTATTTAATCACACATGGGGTGATGGAATTATATTTTATATTTATATTTCTAAATGGTGTCGCGTAAATATTATATTATTTAACATTCATTCACTCATAAATAAAACAAAATTAAAAAAGTTTTTATTTAAATTTAAATTGTGTTGAAATTAATAAAAAATTATTGAATACGCTTGCCAAAGAAAAAAATGTATATTTTACAACAGTTACCAATATATGTGCTATTAACTTTATGTCTAATCTATTGGACAGAAAGGACAAATGGTTATTTTGCGGCATATAGCGAACAGAACACGGATCAAAATTGTTTTTGTGAGGTATTTTATTCATTTTATAGTAAAAATAATTATATACTTTAAAATTCTTTGCCAATTAAGCTGGAGGGTTCTATCAACGATTGTAGTTGCGATGTAGATACAGTAGATCATTTTAATAATATGAAAGTGTATCCACGATTAAAAAGTCTTTTGGTTAAAAACTACTTTCGCTTCTTCAAAGTGAACCTCAAGCGGGAATGTCCTTTTTGGCCAGATGACAGCAAGTGTGCAATACGATTTTGTCAAGTCGAGAATTGTGCAGAGCAAGAAATACCAAAAGGATTAAAGGAACATAGTGAACATGTTGACAAGTCAGCTTTGTTTAAGGTAACTTTTATATATTTATTAATTATTAATTTTTATGATTTTTAATAAGTATAAAAAATGAATCCATTTAACTACTACAGAAAGTTAATTATAATTTAAAAAAAACAGTTTTTTATTTACGGTTGCTTGCACACGTAGTTGCTTTGATTTATTTTAAAAATATTATTTCTACTCTTAAAAACCAATTTAGATTTTATGTACATTTTTTCTGATTAATTATCTGTAGTTTGTTTTTTTTTTTTTGTTAATTTTTTTTTATTTAATATCAGTTGATAAAGTGTTAACAGTATCTGTTTGAGGGGCGTTTTTAATAGCTGATTTTTTTCTTATCAATTTCTAATGAGGATTTCCCATTGATTATTATGAACTTATCAGCTTAATTTTTTTTTTTTTGAAATATTTATGCACGTTATATATCTTAAAGTATGTAGATTTATTATAAAATATAATTGAATATCATAATATATTATATGTTCATAAATCAGATAATTAAAGAGTTGCATTTTGATAAAAATTAAGTTACAAACTTAGTATTTAAGCTTCTAAGTTGTTTATGACTTTCTTTATTAGAAATTACAAAAAACAATTTTTATAAGTTTGGTTGCATAAATACATAAATAAGTTATTATTATTATTATTTACTGCTAATGATTGAGGTGCTAATTATTTGCTGTATTGTTAATTAAAAGGTGTATATTATGGATATTGTAATTCTAATTTCATCATACATAGCACTATATTTTTACAATATAATTAAAACTAAAAACAAAAAAAAATATAAATATGTATTATGCATATTATATTATATGCATATAAGTTGTTCATATAATAAAATAAATACATTAAATTAACTTAGTAGTTGATGTTACAAAAAATGTCATTATTTAAACAATTATAAATACAGTTTACTCAGTTGTGTTTGTTCAATAAGTGTTAAAAGTACACAAATGCAGCGCTATAGTTTAAGAAAATAGTATATTAATACGTTTATAACAACTATAAATATAAATGGGTTATAAGTGAGGAACATGATATGGTTGAGGAACAAGCTTGATATTATATTGGCTTAGCTATTCAAATGGTATTGCTAAGTGTTCTTTTTAAATGCTTAATGTTTTTAAATTTTAAATAAAATGGGAGAGTACGTTTGTTTAATTTTAAAAGAATTTTTATATCAAGAATTTGCTACTGTCGAAAGCAATAATGCAATTTGGCTTAAAACTTAAAATATTACTTTATTACAATATTTATTATTTGTTTTATTTAATTTGTCGAAATCAAACTTAGCAATTACACATTATTTAATTTATTAATAATTAAATTTTATTAAAATTTATTTTTTTTTGTTTTAATTTAAGAAAGAATATATAAATCATGCAACAAATAATGTCTCTATAAACCGAATAATATTGAAATTTAACAATTAAAAATAAAAATATAATTAATTAATTCAATTATTCTACAGCTGGTTTATGATTTCGTTCAAATATAAACACAACAAATAAATTTGTTAGTAAAACTATCACAGCAAATTAAAACTCCAAAAACTGCTAACTGCTAACATAAAAGTCAAGTACGGGGGCTTCGGGGTCAGTTGGTTAAGGAGCACTGATTCTGAGCTTCAAATTTGACAGAGCACGAGTTCGATTCTTGATACTTGCGGTCTCAAAAAAATTATTTACGAATAATTAAATACAAGAATTATTTCGAATACCACTGATGACGGGTATTTGGCAATATTAAATTAATTGTACCTATAGTCGAAATTTTAAAAAAGAATTTTTGTTGTTGTAGTTCACTACTTTTCGAAAACCTCTTTATTTAATTTTAAGTTTTATTAAATTTATTTAAATATTTTGTCATATTTCTTGTTTCATGTTTTATTTCACCGTTCACATATCGAATTCTAGTAGTATTAATCTTATCTTTAATTATCTATTATAATAGTTGGCTAAATGCGATAATTTTTCGGTTTCATTAAATGTTTATATAATGTCTGTAACTAAATATATAGCTATCATTGAAGTACAATATTAATCAAATGACCATAACGATTATATTACAATAAATATGAACATAATATGATTGCTCTTAAAAAAATAATTTCTGGTTAGATATTTTTATCAAGAGCTTAAGTTAAATTTTTCTAATATTCTCTCGCGAATAATAAAAGATTAAGTTTTTAATCTTAAGTAAAGTATTAAATAAAATAAAATAAAAGTATATAAAATATTACACTATAAAAATTTGTTCATTTTGCATACATATAATTGTTATATCAACAAAGTTATATAATTATATTATATATAATTATAATATATAATTATTTTCACATTCATCATATTCACTGTCATGATAAGAGGTTCTTTAACATACACCAAAACTTATTTCAATTAGCTTCCCTTTATCCCCCATAATCCCCCACATCTAATCCCATCCCATGTATTTGTTTTGTAGTCCATTAATGCTTTCCACTTAATGACTCCTTCTGTCAAAAACATCAAAATCGAATACGAATCTTGGCAGTATTTTTTAAAGACTAATTCTTGTATATAATGGAAAAAAACAATTTTTGCTAAATTGTTAACCTCATATATTAAGTGCCAAAATTTATTTTAGGGAAAAAATATTTTTAAAACACTGACGTGTATATTCGATGAGTTTCTCATTTTTCATCTCAACTAATATCAAACCATAATTATGAGTTCTGAAAAATTTTGATGTGATGTAGATGTTGCGATAAACGCCCTTTCAATACTGACGTCATTACTTCAAAATAAAAAATATATCATATTTATTATTATGAAATTAAAATTAAATTAGAAAAATCACTTTTTCTAATTTATCAATTTTAAAATCATTTCAATAAATATAAATAATCTATTAAATAATAATGTATAATTATAAATTTAACTAATTGTAATTAGTATTACTTAATCATAATTAAATTATTAATTTTTTTTCTCATTTTATAAATTACAGTATACCAAAGAAGCACAGAACGTTGATTGTTCTCATGCGGAAGATTTTAATAGTGCCCTTGGCTTTCTGGATACAAGTATTAGTGATCAATCGCATAGAGAATTTGCACGTTGGGCTGAACATGATGAAGCTGAAGAAGAATTTTGCATATTGGATGACGACGAATCTGGTTCACAATATGTAGATTTATTATTAAATCCTGAAAGATATACGGGTTATAAAGGAGATTCAGCACATCGTATTTGGAAAAGTATCTACCATGAAAATTGCTTTGGTATGAATGATACAAAATCCGTACCGAATTATATACCACATATAGATTTGCGTAATGTTTGTTTGGAGCAGCGAGCATTTTATCGAATTATTTCTGGACTACATTCAAGCATTAATATTCATCTTTCGGCAAAATATTTGTTATCAGAATCTAAAGACTTTTTA